AACACTAACAAACAGGCTGAACTGTCAGCACTAAACACTGACAAACAGGCTGAACTGTCAGCACTAAACACTGACAAACAGGCTGAACTGTCAGCACTAAACACTGACAAACAGGCTGAACTGTTACACTAAACACTGACAAACAGGCTGAACTGTCAGCACTAAACACTGACAACAGGCTGAACTGTCAGCACTAAACACTGACAAACAGGCTGAACTGTCAACACTAAACACTGACAAACAGGCTGAACTATCAGCACTAAACACTAACAAATAGCCTGAACTGTCAGCACTAAACACTGACAAACAGGCTGAACTGTCAGGACTAAACACTGACAAACAGGCTGAACTGTCAACACTAAACACTGACAAACAGGCTGAACTGTCAAAACTAACCACGGATAGATAGAATAAAATATAAAAAATAGAAAACGATAAATAAAAACTACACCGTCAACACTAGACTGCAATAGAACAGTTGAGCCAATGAAATAAGATTTCAATAGATACAGTAAATTCTAGCCAATAGACATCGATAACAGCTAGACTATCATCGCTAGACTTTGAAATCAGTTAAATTATCAATGTTAGACATTGATAAGTAGCTAAACTATTAATGCAACATATTAATAAATAGCTTAACTGTCAACACTAGACTTTAGTCAGTGATACAAACGAATTATTACCTATAGACACGTTAAATTTTTAACACTATTTTCAACATTTTTTTTATTTGACCTGAAGCTACTTAAAGATATGTACACGTATATTTTTATGTAATATAAGTTGCTGTTTCTTAACTCTGCATAACTAAAACATGCTACTTTTTAAGATTATGTATCCTGAAGTTATATACTAACACGCGTATTTTGTTTCTGAATCTACACAACTAATATTCAATTAAAAACTCAATTAACGTTCGCTTTCTCTTTAAAACTAAGAATTCTTTCTTGTGCTTGTTTTTCTTGAACCCACGTAAATAAATAAAACGTTTACCTGATTCCATTTTCCAAGTTATTTACTTCAAACTTTTCTACCGGAAGTGCTGGGGGTTCGACATTAAAAGGACTGAAGCCGCTTTGCCTATTGACGTGGAAATCGCCAAAAGGCGTATTCACCGGTTTCCATTTAGCATCAATACGGTTAATACTTCCAAGATCTTTCGAACTAAGCAAAAACTGAACCTCTTTCTCAGGCGAGAACAGTACAGGTCTAATAAAAGGAGCAATTTTGTAATAATTAACTTTTCTTAACCCAAAAATGTATAATATAATATGAAAGAGGTATAAAACATAGTTTTTTTTTTAATTTTCTACGAAAAACAGTTAGAATTAAATGAAATAAAGACATTGAGACTTGTATTATTCAAATCAATTGACAAAAAACAATTTAGCTGATAAATCTTTAATAAAATTAAGTTTTGTCAATAAATGACTAGTTTTATAAACTATGAAAACAAACCTAAAGTAAAGAAAAGTTTGAACGTTTCTATTATTGAGTACCGTCATCGTGAAAATAGGATAAAAAATGCCATTTTGAATAAACTACTAAAACATTTCTGTTTCTCAATATTAATTCTACGAAACTACACCGACATTTATATTTCTTTATACTAAACCTACACAAAAAAATCATATCTGATAAACCGGTTCAACATTTCTGTTTTCCAGTGTTAACTCTAAGAAGCCACACCAGCATTTGTATTTCTTTATAATAAACCTACACAAAAAAATCATATCTTATAAACCGGTTCAACATTTCTGTTTTCCAGTGTTAACTCTAAGAATGCCACACCAGCATTTGTATTTCTTTATAATAAACCTACACAAAAAATCATATCTTATAAACCGGTTCAACATTTCTGTTTTCCAGTGTTAACTCTAAGAAGCCACACCAACATGTGTATTTCTTTATAATAAACCTGCGAGAAAAATCATACTTGAAGAAGTGTTTCTTTGTACTCGATCTGCAAGGACTCTAGATAAAAATTAACACATATACCGAATCAATTCAATATTTGTATTTTTCTCTATTAAATCTGACAAGCCACAAGGAAGAGAAAGAAATTATATGAGAAAAATCAATGTTAAATTTGTATTGCTATTACAAGGTAAAAATGGTCACATATGATAAACTAATCTGTTTTGTATTTTTGCCTACTGAATGCGTCAAAACACAAGAAAAAATATCATATCTTACAAACCAGTCCAATATTTCAATTTATTTGTAATGAATATCTCAAGAGGGAAAAAAATCTGATAAATTATGCAACCATTTGTCTTTCTGTGAACTAAATGTGTTAAAACACAAAACAATAATTTTATCTGATAAACCAGCCAACGTTTGTATTTCTGTGTAGTGATTTTGTTAAAACACAAGAAGAACAGTCTTTTCAGATAAAGCAGTCCAATATTTGTATGCTTGTGTATTGACTCTGTTAAGACACCAGAAAAAAACAATTTTTATCACCCAGATAAAGCACCACAAAATATCCTATTTAAGAAACCAGTCTAACATTTGTATTTTTGTCCGACTTTGTCAGGATGCCAAAGAAACATATCTAAAATCCAGTTTAACATTTGTATTTTTGTCCGACTTTGTCAGGATGCCAAAGAAACATATCTAAAAACCAGTTTAACATTTGTATTTTTGTCCGACTTTGTCAAGATGCCAAAAGAAACATATCTAAAAACCAGTTAAACGTTTGTATTTTTGTCTGACTTTGTCAAGATGCCAAAAAACATATCTAAAAACCAGTTTAACATCTGTATTTTGGTGTACTGACTCTTTCTAGACATTAAAACAGCATATCTGATGAACCAGTCCAACATTGTACTTCTGTGTACTGACTGCGTGAAGACAGAAGAAAAAAAAATCATATGATAAGCGAGCCCAACACTTATGTTTCTGTGTATGTGTGCTTAATTTGTCAAGATACAAAAAAGTCATATTTAATAAACAAGCTGACCATTTGCATTTTTGCGTACCTACTCTGTTTCTGTTTTTTTTTGTTATTAAGCACAAAGCTACACAAAGCCATCTGTGTTCTACCCACCGCGGGTATCGAAACCCGGTTTCTAGCGGTATAAGTCCGCAGACATACCACTGTGCCACTGAGGGGCGTATTTTTTTCTGACACGGTACAATAACATAAAAATCTTAGCTGATATATAAGGTAAGCATTTGCTTTTCTTTGTACTGACTCTGCCAAAATAAAAGAAAAAATAATATGTAATAAACTAGTCCAATATGCGTGTTTCTGTATATTTACACTGTCAAGATACGAAAAAAAATTATCTAATAAACTGGTCTCACACTCTTATTCCAGTATAATAAATCTGTCATGACAGAAGAAATACAAAATTATATTTGATTAACAAGTGCAACATTTGTATTTCTGTGTGCTGGCACTGTTATGAAAGAAAAAAACAACAACTCAAATCTAATAAATCAGCCCTTTGCTGAATTACTTTGTATCAAACCTACAAAGACAATAACGAGAAAAAAAAAGAGAAAAGACATTGTATCAGTTAATAACTCCCGTCAATATTTGTTTTTCTTTCCACCGTCTCTTTCAACACACACCCATGTCAAACAAAACACTTTAACGTTCGTATTTCTGTGGAGACTCAATAAAGAAAACAACAACAATTACATTTAAGAAACCACGTTTTGTTGTTTTTTTTTCTTTTGCTGATACCGTCAGAAAAGAACGGGAAATACTTTATCTAAGAAAACATTCTAACATTTGAATTTTATATGTAGTGTCTCCGTTAAGACATAAGAAAAAAATCGCTCTACGCTAATAAACCATTCAACATACTCCCTCAGTCAAATAAGTTACAAAAAAGAAAAACGTTCCAAGAATTACATTGTATGTACTGATCCAGGAAACACCTGTCACTTCACCAGAAAGAAACGATATACTTAACAATAATTATGGGTTTTTGAGTCCTTTTTTCATCAAAGGTAAAATTGGAAAGAGAAAATGTGACGAAAAGAAATTTGTAGCATATATGTAGTCATTAAACAGTTGGTCCGCCGTATAATATTGAATAATGAAGTAGGCATAATGTCTTAATATTATTTACACACCTAAGTTAATTTAGGTTGCTGTATGGTGATTTAAAAGGACCTAAAAACCACATAGGTATTATATACACATCACCACTATAAGAGGCCTAACTGTATTCCTTTGGTTTGCTGACCCAAGCTGTGCTGATGAGCCTTGTATAGGCGAAACTGCAGGCCATAGTAGAGGGTACAGCCAATCAAGGAATGCATTAAGCTTTTACGTCAGAGATTCTCTTTTCAATTTTATCTGCTGTGAAAAAGAAAAGAAATCCGTAACACACACATATATATATATATATATATAATGATATACATAATAAATCACTCAAGGCTTGTATTAATGAGGTCATTGAGACAAAAAATGTCATATACACCAAATGATATGTATTTTGTGTATAGTGACTGTTCAGCATTACTCCAGAAGAAATGATCACATGCATTTTACCGATTGCATTAAGACATAAATGAGTGAAAAACGATAACCAGTGATCGAATCCTTTGATAGACCTTAGAATGGAGCTAGGTTCTTACACTGACGTGGTCTGAAATGGGAGTGTCTTCTTTTGTGAACCTGCAATTCGAAGAGTCATGAATCCTCGGAATGGACCTGCTTTGTCGTCCTTGTCGTCCGTCTTTTGCTCAGCAATCTTGGCTTTCACGTGATAATGATAGCCTGAAGAAGAAAATATTTTGTTATGTTTGAGATACTTTTTAGGTGGTAAAACCTAAACTTACTTTGATATCTAAACCTAAATTTGGTATGATATCTGTAATAAATTTAGTCCATGGGAAGTATGATGTCGCACTTGAGATAAATGTTTTGTAATTTTATCTTACATATGGCTTTACAGTGTCTTATCAAATAAACACTGGAAGGTTTTAAACTTCATGGTTAGATTTAATACACCAGTTGTCGTACGTTTGTGGTGCTATAAATTGGCATAACTTAATATATAAACGCATAATAAATCAAATATAATGACTAGCGGGGAGCTATAGTTTCTTGTTACATCAGGTCTCATCATCACAACTCAGTTGACAATAGAAAATATTTTCAAAAACGTTATATATATAAGCGTGGGCAACAGTTTAATATAAAATCTACATACAGTTATACAAACATAATTTTTCTATAAAAGAGCAGAAAGTTGTAAACATAAAGCAAAAATATGAAGATTATGCCTATTTAGGTTTGTTTTTCTTAACATAACATAACATAATGATTTGGGACAACATGGGACCTATTGGTCTACCTCGGTTGTTACATCCTCGAAACTAAATTAAAATAACTAAAATAAAAAATCTTATCATATACTTATCAAGCCTTTTCTTAAACTCACTTAAATTTACTGCCTCTACAGCATCTGAAGGCAACCCATTCCAAAGGCCAAACACCCTGTTAAAAAATGAAACTGTCTTAACTGAAGATGACTCCTACCTTACCAAAATTTATACTTGTGTCCCCCAGTCCTACTATTCTCACTGTTAAATATGAAAAAAAGATGATGCATCAACAATACTCAATTCCCTTTACAATCTCAAACACCTCAATCAGATCCCCTAAACTCTTCTTTTTTCAAGAGAAACAAATTT